AAAGTAGAAATCACCATCATGTAAGTTGTGCGATTAATATACGTATTGTTTTCAATAGCAATATCATTGAACATTTGAATAGTGAAAACAGTGCTAACAATATAGTAGCAGTAGTAACTCAGTAGTACTACTGAACTAATGATTATAATAGCAACAGCCATAGTACAAATAATATAAGCAAGAAAACCAATAAAGGTGCTAATGCTGGAAGTCATAAACATAATAATGTGGTAACAATACGAGGAGTAATGAAAACAATAGCACCCATAGCACAAACAGCAGGTAACTGCAATAAAAACGCAAACCTGTAATAACAACAGTGATGCTAGAATACATAGTCTTTCATAACTATGTAGTACTTAAAGTAATAACCTGAATAGTAACAACAATCGTCATAACATCAGTAGTACTAGTAATAATTAGTAGCATTCGAAATATAATACTAATAGTAACGTCAGTAAAAACAGTACGAGCAGCAAACAAGCCAGACTGGCAGTCGTAACAATGTAGATGCCAAAAACTACAATAAGAGCAGTAATAGTGACAAGAAAAGACAGCAATATTTGCAACTTTGGGCATATATAGTTGTCAGAACGGTAATGTTTATCTTCATGCTGCCACAGTAGCGAAGAATAGTTATGTCCATAGCAAGAACTGATATCAGGAATCAGCAGTAATAAATATTTGTGGTCATAGAACTTATGATAGTAATCAGGGTATTGCTACATGCAACGCAAGACCTGGCCTTGCAAGATGTTGCCGCAGGGAGAAGCAGCTCTGGGTCTCCCAGGCTTGCCTGGGCATTGAGGCAACTCCGAGCTTGCTCTCACTGTTCAGGGACACATCGTGCGGCAGGATTGTGATCAACTTCCCTGACAGTGATCGTCTCCTCCAGGCGAGTATAGTTCTTGTTCGCAGCTTTCCTTGCGAAGGACTCGGAGATTGCATCGCTGAAGAAGGGTCATGTGCCACGTCGTCCAGGCCCTACGGCTGCCTAAGGCAAGGCGTGTGTGCAGACGAGAGGCTTGTTCCCAGTCAGGAGCCAAGTTTGTTTGCACCAATCTGGTAAACGAGCCTCCATGCGTTGAACGACTCCACGTGCATCTGCAGATGTCACAGGCTCAGCTTATGGACCAGATCCAATGCTACGGAGTGCAAAAGCCAGGAGTTTTCCATTGAGGCTGAAAGACGAGGTGTAATCCGTGCTGAGTGCCCCGAGATGAAGCAACTTGAGCCTCGTCTGTCCGAAAGCCAAAAGGCTATGTCGGGGTCGGGGTCATGTCGCTCATGATGGCTGCAGCTGCTTTTCGTGATTATTCTAGTCGCCCCTCCGGCCGTTCATTGAAAGATAGCCCGAAACACCATTGGCAGGTGGTCAACGCCCTCATGTGGAGTGACCGTGCCTACTCAATTCATTGCAGAGGTGGGCTTCCTGTGTGAGGGCGAGGCCTGAGAGGCGGCTGGCTCGTGCTTGGTGCAGGATACATTGTGACAGCTTGTCTGATTAGCTGGCACGCTATGCAATCGCAACGACCAGCCGTTCACGCCGGGACTCTAGCAGGCCATGAAGCCTTGCTCACACGCGGTACCTTGTTTGGCATCTGCATTTGCTGGCAGTCGTGGCAGTCGTTCCACATGCAGGATAGCTTGGCTTGCTTGCCTCCTTGAGCCTTGCGGAGTCCAGGTCTTGCGCAATTTCGTTTGGCCTATAGAAAGGTTCCAGCCGGAAACAAAATTGTGTTGGCAGAGGCGTTCGAGCCGGGCCAGAGAGCGCATCAAGACGTCCTAAGCCGCAATCTTATAGTCTTCGGTCGCCTGCGCCGGAGATCCGGCCCCACCCTGGCCACAACCTCGGTTTTTGCAAGCTTGTCTTGTTTCGTCGCCTTCGACACGCTGTAGGAGTTTTCCATTGAGGTTGAAAGACGAGGCGCAATCCGTGCTGAACGCCCCGCGAGTGTGAATTCGGGTGCTGGAGTCATGAAGCTCGGCTGGCTCTTTATCTGCCCAGTCGCAGCTGAGCCGGAGAATCACACCTGAGAGTTTGTAGGTCGCGCTTGTAATCTGAAAATCGCTGATGGTCTTCGGCTTTAGTTATGTAAAGTTCCGTGAGTCTCGGGGGGTGCTCATTGAATATTCAGCGTTAGTTGTATAGTCTTTTCCGATGTTTTTGGATCATGTTGAAAACATACCTAGTGCATCTTGCGAATGTTCCAACAAATTTCCGAGAACGCTCCGAACATGTTCCAGAATATCTGCTGACACCGCTACGGCTACTGCCACTGCTACCGCTGCCACTACGGCTGCTGCTAGCGCTACGGCGTTTTCAAAGTTTAGGGAGTGTATTGGACGGTTTCGGAGCATGTTCTGTAAATTTTCGGAATGTTTTCAAAGCATTGTCGTCGTAGTAGTAGTAGTAGTAGTAGAAGTAGTAGTAGTAGTAGTAGTCGTAGTAGTCGTAGTAGTCGTAGTAGTCGTGGTAGTCGTAGTAGTCGTAGTTGTAGTAGTAGTAGTAGTAGTAGTAGTAGTAGTAGTAGTAGTTGTTGTTGTTGTTGTTGTTGTTGTTGTTGTTCTAGTGGGAGTAGTAGTAGTAGTGGTGGTGGTAGTAGTAGTAGTAGTAGTGGTGGTGGTGGTGGTGGTGGTGGTGGTGGTAGTGGTAGTGGTAGTGGTCGTGGTCGTGGTCGTGGTCGTGGTCGTGGTCGTGGTCGTGGTCGTGGTAGTGGTAGTGGTAGTGGTAGTGGTAGTGGTAGCGGTAGCGGTAGCGGTAGCGGTAGCGGTAGTGGTAGTCGTCGTAGTAGTAGTAGTAGTAGTAGTAGTAGTAGTAGTAGTAGTAGTAGTAGTAGTAGTATCAGTATTCATTCAACAGCGTCTCTCGGAGTACCGATGCACGACGAGGGTAGGACAGATCTAGGATCCGGCCGCTCTGTGGCAGCATCAGGAGCCTTGCCTGATTCCTTTGAAGACACACAGCAGTAGACTTGTCAGTCCATTGCATCCAGATCTAGAGCATTAACACTTTCACTCGCAAAACCAAAGCAGTAGCTGGAGCTGGAGCTTGCCACGATTACCTCAGAACTCATCGGAGACCTGCTGTTGACCGAAGCTGCTGTAGCATCCTTGCCAAGTGCAGAGGAGGCCGTTGAGGAAGCATTCGAAGGCGGAGGCTGTGTGACTGCTGCCTTGGCAGCTGCCACTGCTGAGCCTGAACCTGAGCCTCTCGTCGGATTGATACTCCCCGTGTTGTAATCGCGCATAGCCCGCTGCAGTTTTCGGCATCGGTTGGTATGAAAACCTGTGCCACATAGCGAGCAGCAATGCCGATGCCTTGCATTGGCTGGACAGCAAAAACTCCTGCCACATCCAGGCGTCGTGCAGCGCTTGTGAAGGATCCCAACGCCCTGACCTAAAGGCGCTGGGGTCACTCCACAACCACCATCCAGACCTATGGATGGCGATTCCACATGGCTGCCTGTAGGAGTATTGTATGCCACAGCGCTGCCATCCTGTGCAAAAGGCACTTCCTGAACTTCCATCGGTGCCGCCTCTGAGTCGCGCTGAGCCATGGGGAATGACCTTGGCACGTAAAGCAAGAAGAAGCAGTACCGCATTGCATGGCGGAATGAACGACTCAGATTTTGGCAGATGCAGGATAGGGGGGGGCAGAGACTAGGGAAGAAAGGGCTGCCAGACACTCTGAAATTTCACATCGATTGGGATCACATTCGTCCTGTGCAAAGACAACGACTGCATGCATGCTGGCTGTGCAGACCTGACAGTAACGCCGTTAGGCGACAGGATCAATCAGGATGGTAGGAAAAGCACGCTGCCCAGTATGCAGTGATGTGGTAGCCCTTGGGTCCTCTGGCAGCTGAAATCCCAGGGATTGGAGCGTACATTGCATAGCAGCGGGCAGTTGTGTCCAATTCCGCACTGTGTAGGCTACCAGCGTGTATCGGTCATAGCGTCCCCAGGTTTGGGTGGCGTGCCAGTGATTGTGTGCTGGAAAAATGACGTACTGATCCTGCAATTGGAGGTACCGGCCGACACACATACCGTCCGGAATCTCTTGAAAGTCGCTGCCTGTCGAATCTTGCATCCAGAGCCCGCCACTATCCGTAGTACTGATCATGGTAAGAAGGTTGGAGAACGGACCATTGGCAGGATCGCGGTGCACAGGCGTGGCGTAGTTGCAGTGTACAACAAGAGTAGTCCAGCAGAAGCCTGGGCAAAGGTGGGCTATGTACGAGCATAGAAGCTTGCAAACGTTGGGGTGAACGAGCGTTGCTTTGCTCAGTCCCACCAATTGATGCCTTGCAAATATACCAACAGTGAAGCTTTTGGCACCCTGCTGATTGATCATAGAGCGGTGCCTAGGCTTCTCAAAGCATAGTTGCCTGAGAACACAGCGCACAGCTTCCCAGATCGAGGCATTGCCGGCGGCTAGAATGTTGAAGGCATGAGATTCAGCTGCACTATGACCTGTACCAGAGAGAGGCGTCGCATCAGGCAGAATGGCGTTGGGGTAAGATGGTAAAGTCTCACTCAGTGCCATGGAATAGTGCAGAAAATCAGAATATCTGTCCGCAGCCAAGAGCCGTTTTGCTTCCTGTAAGATTTCATTGCGACAAAGCATGCTGTGACCAGGTGGCAGAAAGTGGCCATCCTGGGAGTAAAATAACGAGGCCAAGCATGCCAGCAGCAGGTGATTCTCAAGTGCCTCTGTGTAGACATCTGACGGAAGTGGACACTCAGCGGCCATCCCACTGCAAAACCGGCTGAGAGGCGGCGGAAAACGGCAGGTAATGCGAGATATGTGCTGTTTGCAAAGAAATGAAAAGGCATGCAGGTGACAACAAGTCTGCAGACACGCTAATTGAGCAGACCGACGTATTTTGGTGTGGAACAGCTGCACGATCGCGCTTCGGCATCATGCAAGATTGAGGCACTTTGGGCAGCGCCAGAGACTCCATCGGAGCAACTGTGCAGATTGGCTGTAGCCGCTATTATTCAGCCCGGAGGAGGCCAATCAGGTAGCCATTGGCAGCTATGGTGTCATGATCTTCCTTCTTAGCCTTACGAGGGGAGGCATTATCGTTGCAGATGTAAAACTCCCATCGCTGCTTGTTGGGGACACTCAGCGCAGCTTGATAATGGCCACTAGTCGGAACCTCACCTAGGTGAAATATAACCCAAGCTATGATAAAGGTCTCCTCTCGGGTGTCAGTGCCGCCTTCACCTTCAAAGATCGGCAGTGTGAGGCGTGCTCCTGGCAGCAGGGGTATGGGACTGCGATTCTTGCCGGCATCCTCACTGTAGCGACAAAGCTGCAGGACTACAAGACCGCTATGCTGAACGAGCGCAGATACAGCATATTGATCACGCCAGTGGCGAATCAGTGTGATAAGGTTAGCGCCTGCAAGATGAAGCAGTACCGGAGACACCAGCTCGCCTGAGTCTGTGATTTGAAAGGGGAGGGTCAAGCGTGACTCCCAGCGTCCAAAGTAGGCAAGCGGCGTGGTCCGACGCACCACGTGTTGATAAAACTCACCTACATCGTGCTGCTGACGGATGTTGTGCCATTGCGCGAACAGAAAACGCCACTGAAGACTGTCTGGCAAGTAAAGCGAACCCCGAACCCTTAGCGCATTAATGCCGGCCTTGAGAGATCCACATGCGGTGGTATCATCCCCAGCCAGGGCTCCAATCCAGAAGAAGGCCTGAATACAGGAGTTGAGGTAGCATACATTATGGGGATTACGGAGACGGGCTTGTGGCAAGCTGAGGGGAGGGCGCTCCCAGCGTTGCACTTCCCTAAGTGCAACAGTAGCCGATCGACCTAGATCGGCTACTTCCAGCTCTTCTCCTTCTGCCAGTCGCAGTAGTGGGTGGCCTTGTAGGCCGTCTCCACTTGCTTGGCCAAGGGTTGCCGCTGGCCCCTTTCCGGCCGCAGGCGAGCTCCCAGCAGCTTCATCACCGCATTTCCGGAGAGGAGTCTGAGACCTTCGAATACTTTCTGAGCCCCTTCCGTTCGCAGGCCGATCGTGATCACAAAGGGCACCACCTCCGCCTGGGTGTCCTGGGTGATGTCCTTCGTGGCCCTGAACTTCAGCAGAACCCCTTGCTGCGGCAGAAAGCGTTCCACCTCCTCCAGAATTTCCATAACCCGATTGTGCGGAAGCGGAGGGGTTGACGACTGGAACTCCTTCTTGTCGGTGGGGTTCCATTCGAAGTAGTGCCACATCGGGGTGAGGGCATTGGCTCCTTCGCCGATCCATCCGCAGTTCTTGTAGCGCTGAAGAAGTTGCTCGTTTCGAAGCAGGTCCTCGAGCTTGGCTCGTAGTGTCTGGACCAGGCCCAGCATCAGCGTCAGCCCTAGAGGCGAGGTGACTTTGTTGTTCGCGTACAGGTCCTGCCATTTCACTGCAGCTTGCTTCAGTGTCTCCAGGCAAGAGTACTGCTCTGTGTCCACGAACATCATGTACCCCATCTCGCGTCGGAGGTGAGCCAACTCTCCTTCGTGTCGAAGGACCAGTTTGGTCATCGACTGGATCAGGTGCTGCGTGGCCTGATCCAGCTGGCCTGTCTCGTCCTGGGTGTTGACGGTCGGCTCTTTGCGCTTGGACTGGCGATCCCACGAATACCAGCCGCCTTTGCCCGCCGACTCTCCCTTCCGCTGAAACTTGGCCTTGTCGCGGCTCGCCCAGCTTTCCCAGTCCTTGTCCTTCTCCGCATCGGCGTCTTTCTGGGTCTGGTCGGTTTCCATGGCCTGTGACGGAGCAGCTAGGCCACCAAAGACCTCCTTGGCCTCGTCCGCTGCCACCGCTCGCCGGTTCTCCTCGCCCATGTTGATCCTCAGCAGATGGCAGATTTTGTGATCGGAAGTAGAGGTTTGCAAGGGATGCCTGGTACACAGCTGAGCAGCTCTGCAAGTGTCTTCGCGGTTGGGCGTGGGCGGTCCCGCAGTATTTGCAGGGGCTTTCTGCTGTCAAGCCAAGCGGAGTACAACGCTGCACAGACTCAAGATGCAAGGAGTGCGTGAACTGATGCATTAGACGCATGTGTTGCTTCATGCCGCTGGCCGCGGCCCACTGGCCACAGAAGATGCAGTGCGCACCAAGCTGCTGTCTGTATTTTGGGATCCGCAACACAGACTTCCATTGCTGTAGCGACATCGCACGAAACTCAGAGTCTTGCACAAGGATTTCCGGAGCACCCGAGGAGTCTGCGTGAGGTGCCGTACCTAAGGGCACCTCCTGGTGTGAAGCTCCCTGCACTTCAGCACCAGTCGCAGACTCCGTATCAGGACTGGTTGGGTTGGAAGGTTTAGGGGGGAAGAGGACCGGGCAGGCTCCTTCGACATGCTTGCGAAACCCTTCGAAACGCTGAAACTTGCGACCACAGTGGCGACAGTGCGGCATTCCGTCAACGGAGTGCTGCATGTGTGTTTGGGCTGGCATTTTGGGACGTTTAGCTTTGGTAACACCATGCCACCTATAGATCTGTGGGAAAGCAAGACACGATGGTTGCTAAACACGACTCCGCACTCCGGGCAGGGAACACCTGGCACGCCTTCCGCAGAGAAATGCACATCTGTCGATTCTGATGGTGCACTGGCGGCTTCCTGTAGGTCAGTCCGTTTTTGCAGAAACCATGGCTTGTCAGCCTCGGACGCTGCTTGGGATCTCTTATCTAGGAGCTTAAGAAGGCATTGCGTGGGGGAGAGGATCTTAAGTCTAGATCTAAGAGCATCGTTACTTTCTTTGGTGATATGCACAGGGGATTTAGCTATGGCTCTCAGGGCTCTGATGTCAAAGGCTTCTAACCGCCGTAGTGCTGCCGCAGTGAGACCTGTCGCGTGCAAGCCGTAAAGCAGTGCGCTTCTGACACAGGCACAGTAAAGTCTGACCCGCTCATGCACAGTGAGGATCTTGTTGTGCAGGACTTTTAGCAGTCTGTGCCTGTTCTGCGCAGCGGCTTGAACTCGGTGCTGCAGTGTCTGCATTTCATAGCCATGGAACGAGGCCACTATGCCAAGGTACACAAAGGAAGAAACCTTAGGAACCCAAATGGGGTTATGGGGAACCCCTAGATTGACGAGGACTTCGTCATCAGTTTTACGGCTATGTTTGCGGACCCACCGCGCTGCAGCACTTCCACGAAGAGAAAGGACAAGCTTTGACTTGGTCGAATTAACCTGCATACCGTCCTCTGCAAGCAGCTCGAAGGTAACGCGCACGCAGTGACACATGAACACTAGGTCTTGCAGTGTCTCTACGCGCCAGGCGAGATGCTTATCATCTGCGAAGGCCGTGAAGAGGGCCTGAACCCATGCTCTCGACGTTCTGGCCTCTATGCGTTCCATTAGGTGAACCGTGTACAGTGTGTACAACAGCGGCGATAGCGCACAGCCTTGGCGCACTCCAACCTGCATTGGAAAGTGTCCCTGATAGTTGTGATGTCTGACGGTATAGCGGCATTGATTGTGCACCTGGAGTATGGACTGGCACAGATCGTCGGGCACATGCGAAGCTCGAAGCGAGGACTCCAGCGCTTGTCGAGTCAGAGAGTCAAAGGCGCGACTCAGATCTAAGCTGAGCATGGCTCCGCCGTAGCAGGTACTTTCCCGCTGGCCGGCACGCTTTTGATGCACATTGAGGACTCCGACTCGAACTCGCTCGCGTATGTCCGAACAAAAACTGGAGACTCTGGCTATGGCAATGTCGATGGATTTCCCAGGACAGTAAGCATGTTGGTTGCTGGCCAGTATGCGGTCGAGAGTGAGAGCTAGCAAGCGTTCACGAAGTACGATAGCGTAGACCTTGGCACTAGGATCCTGAAGGCCTAGCGGTCTAAGGTCTTGGGGTCTCCTATTGACTTTGCCAGGTTTAGGAAGGAGGGACAGCTCGCAGTCGGCAATCTCAGATGGAGGAAGCTCCTGTGTTGCCTTGCACCTTCCTAAAGTGGTAGCCATGAACACAGCGAATTGTTGTGGGCACAGCTTCCAAACGTCTGCCGGAATGCTCTGACGCGGGACTGCCTTGCCTCCTTTCAAGGCGAGTGCAGCAGTGTATAGTTCCTCAACTTCCGGCACTAGCACGGCTTTTGGGTCAGCATGGCGGTGGGCCGAGGCGGAGAATGCACTGCTAAAGTACTGGTAAATTTCGTTATACTCGTCACCCTTAGTGAGGAGTTGACCGCTGGCATTCTTAATGCGAACCTGTTCACGTCTTCTACGGGGGGCGATGGTGTTTATGACCCTGTAAACTGCACTGTGGTTGTGAGCATGGGCTGCTTCTTCAGCCTCGTGCAGAAGATCAACTAGCCACTGTTTCCTGGCAGCTCGGGAGGCCTGTCTAAGCTCTTTAGTTCTGGTCTGAAACTTTAGACGGCGACGCACCAGCTCTGCACTACGCCTAAACAATGGACCCTCAACAGGCTGTTGCAGAGCATCATGTGAAGTCCACAGCTGCTGAATGCATTGCTTTACAGCCTCCGTACGACCTGGGCGCGCATCGCGCGATGTCTGCTTCGGAAACAGTCGCTGACACTCCTGTAAAACAGCTTGGTTGACCTGTGCAAGGGTCCCGGAGCCAGTGTGAGCAGTAACTATGTTGACTACAGAAAACTGGAGTTCCACAGCTTTAGGCGTACCAAGCTTAAGGTGCTGTTTCATAGCATCCAAAGAAAAACGTTGCTGAACAGGTTTGGATTTGGCAAACGTCCAACCAGCAACCCATTTCAAGCTTCCACAGACCGGCCGATGACGGGGACCAAGGCGCCAGGGGGTCAGGCAGAGGTTACTCGGCTCCGCCTGTTTGGCCAAGGTGTCCACTGTCAGCCGACGGGTAGCAAGAAAATCCAGCTGGGTTTTGGTGGCGCCATTGCAGAAGGTGTGAGCGTGACCAGCCGAAGAGCGTCCCCACGTGTTAAGCAGAGTAATCTGATGTGTTTCCAGTACAGCTTCCAGCTCAGGATCAAAGCCCTGTTTGCCCTTCAAGACGCCACGTCCTATGAGGCCAGGTTGGCTTCGGATCTTGGAATTAAGATCCAGGCCCAGTACCAAAAGGTGTCGAACTGGCAGCGTATGGAGGAGACCGCTCAGCTTTTCCCAGAAAACACCTCGTCGGCGTGCTATTTCCTCTCGATTGTGATCTTGCCAGACATGCTGGTAGCCAGCGACAACATCGACATTGACTTGCTGTCCTTCGCATCGCACGTGTAAGAGCCGGCCTGGGATAATGACATTGTATCCAATCTGAGCGTCATTCGCCACTTTAGGGCTGACGAAGACCCCAACACCGCAATATCGCTGCTTGGGGTCTGGGCTGATCAAAGCAGTCCAGGATTCGATTTGCCAGCGATTTTCAGTCTTACCACATCCATGGTGGAGTTCCTGTATGATAACGATGTCAGCTAAGTCTTGTTTAACAAGCCAGTCGCAGAAAACGTCATACGAAGCAGTACAGAAACCGCCTATGTTGTATGTGAGAACTCGAAGTCGGCGCCCTTCTGTAGACCGCGCTGGTCTGCTGAGGGGGTTGAGCTTCGTCGCTGTTCCAGAAACTGTAGTGCCCAGATCACCGGCCGAGTGCCATCGGCCTCTGTAAAAAGTTCCACCTGTCAGTTCTGCTCGTCGCCTGGCCCTTCGAAAGGCACGCTTGCGCGAGTCAGTAAATGGAGCAGCTGTGTGGCCACCCTTTCCAGAAATTTTCGCCACCGAAGTGACTTTCGGATCTCGTGTGGATAAAGATCCAACCCTCGGGTTTACCTGCGCAGATAAAGAATGATGTATATCGGTAGCGATCGCAGGCCTGGGGAATTGGGACCCCAGCGGCTGAGGCATCTCGCCCGAGCTGAAGATTGAAGAATGAAAGAAGCAGTCCAAAAGCAGAACGATCCAGAAAGCCATGAGACGTTCAAAGGGACCCTACCTGACAGCTCGCCTCCAGCCGAAACCCTTAGTAGTATCAGTAGTAGTAGTAGTAGTAGCAGTAGTAGCAGTAGTAGCAGTAGTACCAGTAGTAGCAGTAGTAGCAGTAGTAGTAGTAGTAGCAGCAGCAGTAGTAGTAGTAGTAGTGGTAGTAGTTCTAGTGGTAGTAGGAGTAGCGGTAGCAGCAGCAGCAGCAGTGCAGTAGGAGTTGGAGAAACGACACTCAAAGATGTAGCCGTCATGACATGCGTGGAAAGTAGAGGACATCGTTTAGCAGCAGGAATGATGAGCAGTAAGTGGAAAACAAACAACATATCATGAAGGCGACCTCACCAAACATGATGTTTTCAAAACAGGGCACGAGCGACCACATCCGGTTTGAGAATGGGACGCGCGTCCTACCCCGGCCAGTTTTCAGCGCGATTGTCACTTCTCCGGCTCCGATTTGGGGACTTGGTACTGTGCGTGGACCCTGTTTCCGGCATCGTGCCAGGCCCTCGGCATCCTGAAAATTTGATGTCTGATGTTTGCATTTGGCGTCTGCACATGGGAAGTGTGAGCTGAAACTACCAGGAAAATTCAAATTCGAGGGAGTCAGGGCGGATGCGAATAAAGTTTACGATTTGAGAAACCGTGCTCCATATTTCGAGCTGAAAGTGGAGGTGTGCAACACCAGCACACCCAGAGCCGTGAAGGATAATCAGGAGAGAAATCCGATGAATGGCCAACGCGTTTCTTAAATGATAAAGTCACATCGGCTGTTTTGAACCCTTGCACTCGCAGCTGAAGCTTGTGGTTCGAGGGCGATGTTGTTCGCTTTGGTCGCTTGTCGCCTCCTCGTCCTTTCATCTGCATTTGTGCCCACATGGCTGTCTCAGTCTGCCGGACGGCATGTTTGTGCCATTTCTCTCGGCACTGTGAAGTGCTGGGGAAGCAATGGTTCAGGTCAGTTGGGTTTGGGCGACAATAGTGACCGTGGGGACACAGCCACCGAAATGGGCGATGCCTTGCCAACAGTGGATCTGGGGCTGAAGCTGGCCGTGAACGTAGTGGCAGGTGGCACGCACACATGTGCCATCCTCGATGATCTCACCGTGAAGTGTTGGGGTTTGAACACCTATGGCCAGTTGGGTTTGGGCGACAGTTCTGCCCGAGGCAACCAAGCAGGTGAACTGGGTGACGTCTTGCCCCCGGTGGATCTTGGCAGTGGGAATTTGGTGATCGAAGTAGCAGCTGGTGCTTCTCATACCTGTGCGCGGCTTTTTGATAACACGACAAAATGTTGGGGTCGCAACGATTATGGTCAGCTGGGTGTGGGTGACACCAGCAACAGGGGCGATGCCACAGGCGAGATGGGCGATGCGCTGCCCAGTGTGGATGTAGGCACAGGGCGTTCGGTTCTGGGTTTGGCCGTTGGCGACCTGCATACCTGTGCGTTGTTGGACGACTCATCCGTGAAATGCTGGGGCTCTGCGTCGGATGGCCAGCTCGGGTATGAAAGCACCTATGGACGGGGGCACAAGGCAGAGGAGTTGGGAGACCACTTGCCCGTTGTGGATGTCGGGACTGGCCGCAGTGTTTTGCAGATCGTGGCGGGCGACTCTCACACTTGCGCTCGTTTGGACGACGGCACGGCCAAGTGCTGGGGCAAGAATGGGTCGCCCGGATCTGCATTCCTGACAAGCCTTGTCTAGGCGATTCTAAATTAAACTGTAGCCGATCACCGAATCCGAGAAGAGCATGAATTCTAGCCCCTTTGAGTTCTGAAATGTTGATTCCCAAGGCTTGGCAATCTTGGCCTCGAAGACAACTCCAACAGAGGTGATGCGGCTGGTCAGATGGGGGACAATCTTCCGGCGGTGGATTTAGGAGCTGGGCGGAGTGCTGTCTGGCTGGATGCTGGCGGCGAGCACACCTGTGCGGTTCTGGATAATTTAGAGTTGAAGTGTTGGGGCTACAATGCCTATGGGCAATTGGGCCTGGGAGATGCTTCTACAAGGGGATACCTCTCAAATTCCATGGGGGAGAACTTGCCCAGCCTTGATTTGGGTTCCGGAGCAGTGCCCATGCATCTGAGCACAGGGCTCTATCATACCTGCGCAGGGCTTGGTGATGCCATCAAGTGTTGGGGCTACAATTCAGATGGCCAGCTGGGTTTGGGTGACATTCTCAACCGTGGGGACGACAGCAGTGAGATGGGAAGCTACCTGCCTTCCGTTGTCCTCCAGGGAGTTGTCACTTCAACTAGCATAACTAGCACTAGCACGACTGCCACAGTTTCCACGAGCACAACCTTGACTGTAACCAGCAGCGAAACCACCAGCACTGCCTCTGACACAGCAACAACGACCAGGACATTCACCAGCAGCACGACTGCTACAGTCTCTGCGACTACAACCATCAGTATCACGACGACCGCAACAGAGACCACTACGACCACCAGCACCGCGACCGCTACAGTCTCTACGAGCTCAAGCAGCTCAAGCAGCCACACTACCACGAGTATGACTGCGACAGTAACACAGACCACCACGACTTCGGCCACCAGTAGCGAAAGTACCACAGTCTCCATCAGCTCAACCAGCCGCACAGCTACGGTGTCGGAGACAACTACGACCAGCAGCACGTCTCTGACCGCCACGCGCTCTTCGACAGGCACCAGCTCTTCAACAAGCAGTCCCATCACCGCTACCGGCACCTCATCCTCCAGTACACTTGCCGGATCGGCTCAGGACTTGGACTCACATGCTGGGGAGTAGGATATATACAGGGTTCAAACACATTCTGTAGGTTCTAAAACCCTCCACCCCCAAGCCCTATATCCCGACGACAGTTTCTTGAGATATGCGGCCTACGTGACAGGAGAATGTCACTGGAGGCCCGGGCCTTGCACTTCGACAGCGGTTTCATGTGCGTGGACTGTCATCTGTACTTAACGGCTCGTACTTAACGGCTCAGTAACTGGTGCCTTGATTTGGGTTCTATGCAGTTGTATAAGCGATTGTAGTCGTGGCAGTGTGCGTTAGTTTCCTGTGAGCATGCTTGCTATGTGCCCTGATCTCTAGAGCATGCCAGGGGCGGCATGCGACTCCGGTCTCAAAGTCCGAGTCTCAGAATCTGAAGCCCTGCAGCCATAGGGTTTAGGGCTTCGTTGTCTGTGACGGGCGATGCAGCCTTGCGGGGTTTGGGAGTTCGGCTTTCGGCCATGCTGGTTTGGTCTCTGAACGTATTGCTGTACCTTTAAGATTTGTTGTGCCAGGGCCTGAGGAGTTTGGGTCCACGGATGTGCAGTAGATGAGAAACCCAAGTCCGAAGCTCGAAACCCCCAAACAAACCTGAGATGTCGCTGCAGGTCTGCCTCTCCCTCCGCTACACTTCGGATGGCGGTGGCCTCAGCAGGCTCTCAGCCAAATCCAGAACGGATTCATGGAGAGCCGAAGGTGTCAGAACCACAAGTTGTGGTGATGATGATGATGGAGATGAGGATGAAGACGACAACGATGATGATGATGATGTTGGTTCAGCAGCAGCAGAAACAGTAGCAGGGGCAGCAGCGGCAACAGTAGCACTGAGGAGGTCGCGAAGATACACGCCGAGACAAAAGCAATACCAGAATGGCCTACATGATTACGCCTCAATACAATTCGATAGGAGCCATTATATGCATGCATATATATGTATATATGCACATCTACATGTGTGTGTATATACATATATATAAATATAAATAAATAAATAAATATATATATATATATATATATATATATATATACATATACATATATATATATATACATACACACACACACACACCCTCTGTCAACCTTTTTTCGAACCCGCCCATTTGAACTTTGAACCCCTAAGCCATGAGCCCCAAAGAGCCCTTTTCAATCGCCCGGCATCTCCCCAAACCTTCAACCCTCAACCCTGAACCCTAATCCTGTTGGTTAAATGCCAGTACATGTGCATTTAGTGGTGAGGTGGTGGAATCCCGTTGTTAGTGTTCCCCTGCCTCAGCCGGTACGGTAGAAGGGATGCCTTGCGACGAAAATACACGAGGGTTCAAAAAAAACCCTAAACCCTAAACCCTAAACTCAAAACCCTAAACCCCAAACCCTAAACCCTAAACTCAAAACCCTAAACCCCAAACCCTAAACCCTAAACTCAAAACCCTAAACCCCAAACCCTAAACCCTCCGGCGCTTCTCCGCAGCCGAGGACTCCCCGACCGCCGTGCGCCTGTGGCCGTGTCCTGCGTCCCGGACAATACGCCGGGGAGCCCGGCAAAGTTGAGGGTTCATCGGTTTAGGGTTTAGGGTTCAAGGTGTGGTAGGGTTTAGGGCTTAGGGTTTAGATCAGGCATAGTGTGCATACACGTTTGAAACAATTTTCACACTCCTGCTTTGATGAGTGTATACAGGGCTCCTTGGAAGCTTGGGTGAGACATAAACATACACACACAGAGGTGCATGTGCTCATGTGCGGATGAGTCTGCACATATTTTTGTCATACTGTCCTTGCATGTATGCGTACAGACATGCGGCATACAGGCGCACACGCACATGTAGACAAAGATAGGTCGAAAGATAGACACCGACAGATAGACATGGATAGATAGACATACACATGGACAGAGGCACAGGCACAGACTTTGACTTAGACTTGGGCAGTCATAGACATAGACATAGACTGAGAAATGGGGACGGACAAGGTTCGTACGATACAGTTAGATAGAAAAAAGACAGTGTATACACGCACATATACAAACGTAGATATGCACATGTATGTGTTTATACAAATATTCATGTAGGAATCAATCTCAATATCAGTGTCGAGGTACATGACAGCATCAGTATCAATATCAATCTCATATAAACAAGTAGGCAGATAGACATAAACAGATACCTACATGAATATAGTTAGGTACATGAATGCAAATACAGCAACAAATGGGAAGGTCGTCAAGGTGTATATATATAT